CCCGCCCCCATCTCGTTAATGAACCGCATTAATTGCGAATAAATTAATTAATTAACTGCGAACGGACGAACCAGCACGTGGTGGTCCCGTCACCGCCGGCCATGCCCCCCCCGGCCACGCCCCGGCGCCGGCAAATCTAAGAGGCTCCTCCTCCTATTCCTCCTCTTCCTCCTCCTCCTCCTCCGCGGCCTTCATCCATCCCATCATCCCCCGCCGGCCACGCCCACTCCTGGGGGGGGAGGGGTGAGTTGGGTTGGGTTGGGTTGGGTTGGATGTGTTGAGTTGGGTTGGGTTGGGTTGGGTTGGGTTGGATTGAGTTGGGTTGGGTTTAGGTTTTTTAGTATGGGTTGTGTTGAGTTTAGTTGGGTTGCGTTGGTTGATTTAGGTTAGGTTGGGTTGGGTTAGGTTGGTTTAAGTTGAGTTGGGTTGGTTTAGGTTGAATTGGGTTTATTGGGTTGGGTTGGGTTCATTTGGGTTGCGTTGGTTGGGTTGGGTTGAGTCAGTTTAGGTTGGTTTAGGTTGGGTTGGTTCAGGTTGGTTCCGTTGGGTTTGAGTTGGGTTGGGTTGGGTTGTGTTGAGTTGGGTTGAGTTGGTTTAGGTTGGGTTGGTTTATGTTGGCATGGTTTAGGTTGATTGGGTTCAGTTGGGTTGGGTTGGTTTAGGTTGGTTTAGTTTGGTTTAGATTGGTTCCATTGGGTTGGATTGGGTTGGGTTCAGTTGAGTTGGTTTAGGTTGATTTGGTTCGGTTGGGTTGGGTTCAGTTGGGTCCGGTTGGGTTGGGTTGGGCTGGTTTAGGTTGGGCTCGGCGCCGGCGCGATCTGCCGCCGGATGCCGTCGCGGCGTGCGTGGAAATCGGCGATCTCGGCCACGATGGCCGCCTTGATCTCCTCCTTGGTGAGCGCCTGCCGGTCGAATGCGAAGTCGAACGCCGGCACGCACTCGGGCTCGTCCTCGGGGTCGTGGTATTTAGCCAAGAACGGGTGCCGCAGTGCCTCGGCCACGCCCACCCTCTCCCGCGGGTCGAAACGCAACATCCTCCCCAGCAGCGCCAACGCCGCCGGCTCGGCGTCGCCGAAAAGGCTCTCCCACGGCACCGGCGGGCGCGGCGGCAAGCTCTGCATGTAGGCGCGGACGCGCTCGGCGCCGATGGCCGCCATGACGCCGGGCGGCGGCGTGCCCAGCACGGCCATGATCAGCTGCAGCTGGTGGACGTAATTCCTGCCGGGGAAGAGCTGGCGGCGCCCCAGCATCTCGGCGAAGATGCAGCCCACCGACCACATGTCGATGGCGCGCGTGTAGCGGTGCAGCGAGAGCAGCAGCTCCGGCGCGCGGTACCAGCGCGTGGCGACGTACTCGGTGAGGAAGGCCTTGGCGTGGCGCGGGTCGGCGCCCAGGCCGCGCGCCATGCCGAAGTCGCCGATCTTGAGCTCGCAGTTCTCGTTGACCAGGAGGTTGGAGGGTTTGAGGTCGCGGTGGAGGACGTTGGCGGAGTGGATGTACTTGAGGCCGCGCAGGAGTTGGTAGAGGAAGTAGCGGACGTGCTCCAAGGTCAGCGGTTGGGAGGAGTGGATGATCTGGTGGAGGTCGCTCTCCATCAGGTCCAGCACGACGTAGCTGAGGGGGGAGGGGCGGACGTTGACTGAAGCGGAAGGCGGCGCGGCTCGGCGCGGCTCAACCAACCCAACTCAAGCCAACTCAACGCAATTCAGCCCAACTCAACTCAACTCAACTCAATGTAATTTAATCAACCCGACTCAACCAAACTCAACATGACTCAACTGAACTCAACCAACACAACTCAACTCAACTCAACCCAACTCAACTCAATGTAATTTAATTCAATCAACCCAACTCAACCCAACCCAACCCAACTCAACAAACCCAACCCAACTCAACCCAACACAACCCAATCCAACTCAACAAACCCAATGCAACTCAACCCTCACCTGGAAGGGACCCAAAATCGCCTAAAATGGAGCCAAAATCACCTAAAAGAGACTCAAAATCACCTGGAAGGGACTCAAAATTGCCAGAAATGGACCTAAAATCCCCTAAAATGGACCCAAAATCACCTAAAGTGGACCCAAAATCGCCTGAAATGGACCCAAAATCGCCTAAAATGGAGCCAAAATCACCAGAAATGGAACAAAATCACCTTAAAAAGACCCAAAATCCCCAGTAATGAACCCAAAATCATCTTAAAGGGACACGAGTCCAACGTAAAGGGACCCAAAAATCACAAGAAACGGACCAGAAGTTATCCTGACATGGACACAAAATCGCCTGAAATGGACCCAAAATCACCAGAAATGGACCCAAAATGACCAGAAATTGACCAAAATTGGTTAAAATTGACCCAAAATCACCCGGGGAGGTCCCAATCCCCTTAAAGGGGCCAAAATCACCAGAAATTGACCAAAAT